GCCCCGGGTTGCGTGAAAGGGGTTGTGGGGGGCTGTGCGGGGAGGGCTGCCTGGCTCCTTGCGCTTCCGGGGCGGTTGGTGCGGGGGGGGGGTACGGAGGGGGGTACGGAGCTCGGGTCGGGGGACCCGGTTGCCGGGGTCGCGATTGCTTTGCGCCCCGCTGCTGCCGCCGCTGTTGCCGCCGCCGCCGCGGACGTGAAGGAGCACGTGCTCTTTTGCTTCTGCTGCCTGTCGTACCGTTATCGTACTTTTCAGGTACGGCAATTGGAGCGCGAGAAGGAGCTCTTGGTAGCTGCTTTTGACCACCGTGTATCCGAGCTGCAGTCCTCCCTGTTGGTGGCTAGACAGGATCTGAACAGCGCACGACAAGATGCCGAGGAGCAGCGCAAGGTGAGGCTGCGTATGCTGTATATGTATGTATGTATGTGTATGTTATTATGTAGGTAGGTAGGTAGGTAGGTAGGTATGTATATTGCCTAGCCTTCGATCCATATTCTTAACGTGATTCATTCTATCTGCCCTGCCATCCCAGCCAGCCATCATTGCCCCTCAAACTGAGGCCAGGCGTCACCTCTTTCCCCCTGCCCCCCTGCCCCCCATTGCCCCCCCCGCCCTCCCCCCCACAGCGCGCCACGGAGGCCGAGGCTCGCATCACCGAGCTGGAGGTGCGGGCGCACTCCCTGCAGTCCACTCTGGACGGGGAGCGGGGCACCGTGATGACGGCCCTCAAGGAGTGCCACGAGCGGGACGTGTCGGTGAAGCGGAGGGCGGAGCAGCTGGAGGCCGAGGTGCAGAGACTCACGGAGAGGCTCAAGTGGGTCTGCGTGTGTGTGTGTGTGTGGTTGGGGGGAGAGAAGAAATGGGTGTCGAAAAGGGAGAGGGTTTCTGTGTCTGTTTTGTCTGTCTGTGTTGTTCCCCTTTTCCCCGGTCTCCCATCCCATGCCCTTCCCCGACCCGACTATCCTGCAGAGAGGAGACCACGGCTGTAGCCGCCCTCAAGCGGCAGCTGCTGCAGTTCTCCGATATCGCCGAGCGCTACGCCACCACCCTGAGAGAGGGGGAGATGGAGCCTGGGATGCAGGAGGTGCTCGACAGGGTGCAAAAGCTGTTTGTAGGGCAAACCAACCCCTTTGGCGAATCGTATGCCGTGCAGAAAGTGCTCAACCATTACCATGGCGACCTGCGAGCGGTGTTTTTATATTACGCGCAGGTACGTATGTATGTATGTATGTATGTATGTATGTATGTATGTATGTATGTATGTATGTATGTATGTATGTATGTATGTATGTATGTATGTATGTATGTATGTATGTATGTATGTATGTATGTATGTATGTATGTATGTATGTATGTATGTATGTATGTATGTATGTATGTATGTATGTATGCATGTATGTCTTATTTGGTACGATATTTTTCGTTCTGGATTGTGTGTGCAGAATTTCTTTGTAAATTTATTGATCTTGAAGTGATTCGTCGTTCTCATGAAAATCTACCTCTCTCCCCTTGCCCCCATCTCCTCCCCCATCGACACGGTCTACAACGTTTTTTTATTTTTTTCCAAATCCCGACAACGCTTTTCCCCAACTCCTATACCTCTTCCTCCTCCCCTCTTCCACCAACAAACTGATCCGTTAACCCGTCAACCAACCACACCAACTATCGACAACTTAACCAACCCTGTCAACTAATAAATGGCCACTTAACACCAACCATGCCAACTGATCAACTGACAACAAACCATGGCTACCATTGAACCAACAAATTATCAACCAACCATGCCAACAAACCAACGAACACATTAACCAACCATGCTAACCAACTATGTCGACAACTCAACCGACAATCCAACCCATCAACCGACAACCTAACCAACCCATGAACTAATCAACTGATCAATCAATCGACCGAACAACCAACCAACCAACCACCTACCCAACCACCACGTCAACCAGATCCCCGCACACGCCCTCGTCCCCCGCCGCGGCGCTCTCTCCCCCTCGAGGGCCCGCAGCCCCTCGGCCGCCTCCGCCCTCCCCGGCCCCTTCCTGCCCCTACCGGGCTCCCCCACGCCCCACTCCCCGCGACTTCCCCCCGCGCCCCCCGTGCAGCTCGAGAACAACTTCGCCGCCTACTGGCCCCCCAGCCTGGCCTTCCAGCAATGGATGCTCTTCTGCAAAGAAACGGAGACCTCGGACCCGCGCTCCAACAGCCGCGTGTCGGCAGTTACACAGCCACATAAGATGCTGCACCCGAGGGACTGCGAGGCCGTATTCCGAGCCTACGCCAAGCTCGACCCCAACGCCATCAACACCGCCGCCCCCGTGCTCACCTACGAGGGCTTCCTCTCCGCCATTATCGACGTGTCATTCCGCGTCAAGCGCTTTGACAACCCGTACCTATCCGAAGCCGTACGCGAGTACATTTTATCTTACGTCTCCCGCGCGTCGAAGATGTCTCCGACGGGTCTTCGACGCGGTCAGGTTCGCGATGCACTCGAGGGGACGAAGGAGGGTCCGCCGCCTTCGCCGGGGGGGCCCCACCTGGCACCCACAAAGTCCATGACCCGCGGTGGCGGTGCCGCCGCTAAGAAGAAGGCCGCCACCATTGCCAGTTCTGTTCATGAGTACCCTCTGGTGCGAACCATGACGGGGCTGATCCGCACCACCACGGGCACGTCTGCGGGCGGCAGCCTGGCCGCCAGTCGGCCCTCCAGCGCCCTGAGTCGCAAGAACAGCATCCACCAGACGGCTTTGGAACAGGACCTGGCGCTGGAGGTGACTGCGAGCTCCAGTCGGTTGCCGACCTCATGAGGGCTGCCGGGGTTAGGGGGGGGGCCCGGGTAGAGTGGGTAGGGGTGGGATTGGGGTGGGGTGCGGGTGGAGGATGTGGTGGTGGTGGGATGTGGTGGTGGGCGGGGGTGGGGGTCCTCAGTGGAAAGGAAAGGTGATGCTTGTGACGGTGTGCCGCATGCCAGTGAGTGCTCGGTAATGCTTGGGCGAGGGTAAGTGGGCGAGGGTTCGTGGGGTCGGGTGGGGGGTGTAGGTAGAGGAGGGAGAGCTGAGCTGGAGGGGGAGGGAGTGGGGGGAGATATGGCGACAGTGGCCTGGGGTAAGGCGCCCTGGGCGGTAAGGTTGGTGATTATCTGAGCAGCCCCCTTAGCCTCCTTAGCCTCCTTAGCGCACTCCGTAATTGCGTGTGGGCATGATTTGAAGTAATGGAGCGTATTGGCGGTGGGCTGAGGGCTGCCTGGTTGGATGGGGGGAGGGATTGCGGGGGACAGCTGGAAGGGTAGGATGAGTGGGTATGTGTCGGTGCTCGTGCCTGGGTGGGTGTTTTCTGCGGGATCTAGCACCTTCTCCTTTACCCTCCCCTCCAGCCGCCCCCTTACAAAGGAGTACAAGAGGGGGGAGAGGTACGGGAGAGGGGAAAGGAGGGCCGGATGGGAGGGCCGGAGCCCCCGGCCGGACGCGGCCTCTTTATACCGGCTTGATGCGCCGACTGCAGCCACCACACCACACACCACCGCTGCGGCTGCACCCCACCGCGGCCAGGTGGTGAGGGGCCCGTTTCCTGTTGCGCGCTGTGTCGTACCTCGTGTTGTGCTGTGTTGTGATTAGTTTGTTGTCTTTTTATGCTGGCTGTGGCCCTGAAGGGGGCCGCTTCATCCCCGCTCCCCGGGAGAGCGGGGTGTTGGGTGGGAGGGGTGCGGGTGCGGGTGCGGGTGCGGGGGTGACGGAGGGGTGTGGGCGCGGGGAGACGGACAGGGAGGGTTTTGGCGGAGGGGAGGGGGGGGGCTCCGCGAGGGGGGGGAGGGGAGAAGAAACCGTGCTGCAATGCATGGAGAGGAGGCGGAGGGGCCCTGAAGCGGAGAAGCGGGGCGTCCAAAGATAATGCCCTGGTATCTCAGTGCCTTTTGTATGTGTGTACGTATGTATGTGCATTTTTTTTGTGTGTGTGTATGTCACGGTGGCTTTCAGGTGGCAAGGAGGTGGCTTTAGAGGCCTTTCAATGAGTCGTTGACGTTTCTGTTGTTTGCAGCAAGACTGACGGTAAGAGTGAGTGTTGAAGTAGCGCTGTGGTACGTTGTGGTGCTAGGTGATATCGTACACCCCCCTTTGCCCACCAGGAGGGCTATCAGGCGGTCAGTGTCCTAGGTCCCGCCGTGTGTATCCGTACAGCCATCTATCCCATCCATCTGTCCAGCCGCTGCTACCCCGGGGGGTTCGGAACCCCCCCCCTCTCCCACCCCCCTGCTCCCCTCCTTGCGGGCCCATGTGGGGTCCGTGTGGTGGCCTTGCGCCGTTCCGGGAGTGCAACCCCGGGGCGCCCGGGTACCCGCGTGCACACATACACAAGGCGACGCAGACACACGGACCCAAGAAAATGATATGCCGTACATGAAACGATAAGGCCCACGGCGTTCAGACGAGTAGATGTTCGGCTGTCCAAGAGTGCCCTTGGTCTCTAGGACTGAAGGCGTGCGCGACATACATACATGCATACATAAGTACATATTTCTAAGCACACAGCTTCCTCAGGGGTTTCGCTGCGGGATGATGGTAGGGGTGATATAGCTTACATAGCCGTCGTTGGTGTTGCAGGCAGAAACCTTCGCTGAGGTTGTTCGATTTATCGACTGCAGAGGCGACTGACGTCAACATGCGCAGTTGCTGATGTACGAGTCACGACCCGCAGGGTGTTGTGTTGGTGTGTATGTGTACACGTGGATACTGACATGTACAATGCAGGTACGGTGCACGCACGTGCTCGCTGCATCCATAGGGGGTTACAGGGCCCCTAATCAGGGGGGCCCCTTCCTAATTAGAGCTCTACCCGGCAGGGCGGCATCAGGAAGAGAGCACTGTGACAGCTCACCGCATCCCATCCCTAGGTAATCGGGTGCTATATGTTGGCTGTCCGGATGAGGGCCGGGGGGCCAAGAAGCAGTGCAGGTGTGTCTCTCGTCTCCTCCTCTACTTGGTATCTCATTCAGGAGGCGACACGCTCAGTTTTGGAGCTGCTGTTTAGTACTGGGTTGTGGGGTGGAGGATGTGTTCGTTACGTGTGGGGTCGAGAGCACGTATCTGACTGATTGTTAGTTGCTTTGGCCGTGCGTGTGTGTGCCCGGTGTGAGTATGCCACTTCAGGTGCAGGGGGCCCCTTGGCCACGGGGCACGGGGAGTGGCCTCTATGATCGTTTGTAAGCCGCTAGGGGCACTGGGGGGAGGCGCTGTGTATGGCTTAGTGCGCCTTGGTGTTTGGGGGGGTCATGGCGCCGTGGCTGGAAAGGTGAGGAGGCGGAGAGGAGGCGTGACACGTTTTGGGGGGTGCAGGTTTCCGGTTGTGCTGTACAGTGCGTGCGGACAGGGTGGGACATTGTTTATGTGCGTGTCGTGTTCGCACGACTTGGACTGCTGATAAGGCAAAATTGCGTGCTCCTTTACCCTTACATTCTTACCCTTTATTTACTTGTCGTCGTATGCCGTAATTACATTAAAAAGCAATTGAAACGAATGGCCTTGTGAGTGGATTTATTTCTGTGTGCATCATGTATTAATTGCGTCTGTACGGCATGAGAATGCACACGCAGGGAGGAGTGTATCGGTGGTGATGCTTTCCGCCTCTGGCGGTAACCGCCGCAACCCGGCGCGCCTCGGCAAGCTGATGCTTGGTGTCGTCCGCTAAGGCGCACAGCAGTAGTAGAAGTAGTAGATGCACCTTGGCGGGCCCCGTATGGTCGCAGTAGCGCAGTAGGATTGGCTATGTGACAATTGTGACGTCCAAACTTATGGCAATGAGAGTGTCCCTATTAGATTCCTAATGATTGACTGTCCCAACGAATTAGTTGGGCCGGAACGAAGAACTTGGCGGGCTTATAGCTGCCCATTTTGACCAGTCAACTTTGGGCTGTTTTAAAAAAAGCGCGATCCGCCGACTAGGATTCCCCCGGGGACTTGACAAACGAAGGAAGCCGTCAATACCCCCGTTCCGGTGCTCTCTCCACCAAGCACCGAGCGGCTTCTGGAAACCTGCCCCGCGATCCAGTTCCCCATCCCCAGGGGCTTGCAGCCTTATTAATGTCCCAAGCCTGCAGCTCCATTCGCCTGCACCACCCTCCTTACGCTGAGAGGCAGCAGCGCCCGCAGCACATCACATCACATGCAGGCTGCCGGGTGCCGCACGGGGCGCAGCGGTGAAGTTTCATGGCCAAAAAACTAAACAAGGCAGGCGGCAGAAGTGTAGCCGTCAAACGCCCAAATACAACACATATTGCGTCAAACTAGCAGTGCCTACATGGAGCTAAGGCATACACAACGCTAAGCTGCGGCCCATGTAAACACCCTTCACAACCTGCTGTGCAGCAAACCCAGGTACCGGATGGGCGGGGTTCGGCATCAGGCAGCTGGCGACCGTCCGCTATTGCACCAACCGCAATATTGTGCCACTCCCCCCAAGCACACACATCGATACACACACACACATAGTCACACACAACACGTCTCAACCTCAATCTCAACACACACACACATACCGTCCTCCTCCCCAGCATGATGATGCCCAGGTGGTGGTTCTCATCCCATCCCACCCCACCACCCAAGCAGCATCTCAAAAAGCTGCCAGCCACGGAACAATCCCCGAGCCAACCCCAATCCGCCCCAAGTCCCCCCCTCCATCACCCCCAGGCCCCACTCCGTACCCGACCTAACCCACATCACAACAGGACACCCCCTCCTCTTCTCTGGACCCACGCCACATCCACGTGTTTAGCTAGCGAGGTCGCTCCGTGGGGCGTGTGCTGCTCGATGCGGCTCCTCCGCCTCCGCCTCCTCCTCCTCGCCCCGGTGCATCAACCCATCCTCCTCATCAGCACATCACCCAATACGCAGGACCGCCTTGGTTCACACACACCCCCAGCCCCACCCACACACCCCAGTCGCCCTCCCTCCCTCCGCCTCCCCCCCGTGCACTTCTCGGGGTCCGGGTTGGCAGTCCGTAACATTGGCAGTTGCACCGCAGCCCCACGCACCCCCATCACATACACCTCCCGGCCGCACCCCCTACGCCGCCCGAAGGCCTCTCACTCTCCCTTGTAGTCCGGCTTGCGCTTCTCCGCAAAGGCCTTGAGTCCCTCCAGTCGGTCCCGAGTGGGTAGCAGCTGCGCGTACAGCGCCTCCTCCATGGCCAGCCCCGTGTGCAGGTCCACCTCCAGACCCCGGTTGACGGCCACCTGGGGGTGGGGGGGCGGCCACATAGAGGGGCCCGGGTGGAGGCGGAGGGCAGGGCAATGCCAGCGGCGTGAGGGGCAACGAACGAACAGGACAAAGAGCGGCCTACACCCAGCCGTCGACATGACGTAAAGGCTGCTGGAGGTATGGGCGTCTCCCTCCGCACCGCTACACACCTTGGCTTGCCGCAGGGATAGGGGTGCGCTGCGCACCATTTGCTCCGCCAGCTGCAGCGCCCGGTTGTACACCTGACACCATGACATACATACATACATACATACATACACACACGCGGGGTGGCACGGAGTGAATGAGAGAACGAAAGAGGGGATGACTGAGCGAGGAAGGAAGGGCGAATGACACACAGAGGCAGAAATGCAAAAAGGAAATCACACAAAAGTCGAACAAGGCGACTGCGCAACCAGTGGAAGCGCCACCCAGGCCCAGGCAGCCTCGAGTGAACACGGAATGAAGCCATAATGGCCATTACACGACACCACGTAACAGGCTGCAATCGCAATGCCCTCACACACTGACCCGCATGTCAGTCGAGGCCGGGCTCCACCGGCAAAGTAGGGCACGAGTCCGGGGTTCCTTGCTCTCCTACTCCTCTGCCCTCTCCCTCCCTCCATTACCTTTACTGTGATTGGGCGGTCTCCCTCGTTTCCCTCCAACCCCTCCTCGCCACTCCCCTCCTCTCCCCCCTACCCCTCCGACCTGGTCATCCGGCACCACGTGTTCCGCCAGCCGCATGTCCAGAGCCTCCGCAGCAGTCACCCGGCGGCCCGTGAAGATGAGCTCCTTGGCACGACTGGCGCCCACCAGGCGGGGGAGCCGCTGGGGGACAGAGACACGCATACATACGCACACACATACATACACACCGGGGAACCAGGGCCCCCGCAGGAGCAAGGAGGCGAAGCAGTGGGACACAGGGGGGCCAATTAGACGCCGAGGGACATAGGGTTGAGGGCAGAGGCAGTTCAGGGTCGATGCAAGCGGTTTCAGGCGCGGCCAGGAAATGAAGAGGAGAGCGAAGGGGACCGTGCGGGTGGGTGGGGACCGTGGCCGTTGCTGCCTCCATGATGCTTTCAAGGACGCCCTCTTGTACGCAAGAACCCCCAACTCAAGGAGCCCCGTACTGCACGTCTACTTGCACAAGGCCTCTGTCCGTAGTAGTGTTCCGCCCATTTACTCCTTGCGCGCGCTTTCCCGAACCCCTCAAGTCGCAAACAACGTACACAAGTATGGTTATCTGGCCCTCCGCATGCGCTGCAACCCACCTTCCCCCAGGTTGCCTTCTCCTTACCCACCCCGACCCCGCCACCACCACGTACCCGCCACGCGGTACACCGGTGTTCGGGTTCGCAATGCCGCTGGTGTGCTGGTGTCCTTTCCTCTCCCCCCCCCGGCCCTCTCCCCTCCCCCAGCAGGCGGCCCCCAATATCTCCCACCTGTGTACCCCCCGCGCCCGGTATGATGCCCAGCTGGGCCTCCGGGAAAGCCATGGACGCCCCCGAGCCCATCACCCGGATGTCACACGCCAGTGCCAGCTCCGCACCGCCTCCGAGCGCTAGGCCCTCCACGACAGCCAGTGTAGGCATGGGCAGGTCCTGAAGGCAACACCGAACAGCAGTCGCGTTAACACAAGCCCGACCCCCCTCAATTCCACAACTACGGTGACCCCTTTACATCCACACCCCGGGAACGCCCGCGTGTCTGCCTGTTTGTATGCATGTACGTATGTACGTATGTGCTTGGGTGCCCCCTCCGGGGAGCGCGGGGACCGTCCGCTGCCGCCGCCGCCGCTAGGTGTGGCCAACACCGCCCCGCCCCGGGCCTTTCCCCCCTTCCCGGCAGCCCCTTCCTTCCCGCCCCACCTGCAGCTCCGTGAACGTGCGGCGGATCCTGGACACGAACTCGGCCGCCTCACTCTGGCTCATGGTGGCCCGCTCCTTCAGGTCGGCGCCCGCACAGAACACACCTGACGTCGCCAGGAGAGGTGTGGGGGTGTGGGGGCGAGGGACGTGGGGGTGGGGCCCAGCAAGGGATGAGAATGGGGTGGAGGTGGTGGCTGCGACACAGATGGGTCATGAGCGCGGCAGCGGGTAGGTAGTAGTGTAGCTGACGAGGGCAGAATGGGCCCCCATGCCGGAAGATACAACGAGGGGAGAGGCGCGGAACGGTCGCACTTCGACGCGCCCTCCACACGCACACGCAGCAAAACGCTAGGCAGGTTTTACCTAGTCCGGGTCCTTCCCGTCCTTTACTATGATATAAACCAATACATGTATATCACAACGGCCCTCTGCGCCCTGGATATCAACCTGGCTTACCTCTTAAACCCCCGCAAGCTCGTTTGCCCTTAACCCAGCCCTCGTAAAAATCGACTAAAGTGGGCAAATTCTAGGAAGGCCTTCCGGCCATCCTGGCAGCCAAGGGCCCCCGGGGCCCTGTCCATGGCTTCTTCTCCCAGTGTCCGTATGCAGGGACGCCGCTGCCGGCCTGTTCAGATCATGTGACCACCCTCGCCCAGCTGAAACCCATTTGCAGTACCTCCACCCTGCCGCGCATATCCCCTTCCTGAGAGCCGTCATCACACTGGGTGATCATCTCGCCGGAACCCAAAGCGATCTCCGCCCTTCCATGCCACCTCCAAATCCCCCGGCCCCACCCGTCCTCTCCGCCCCATGATTCTCACGACCACCCCGCCCAGCCCGTCTGTACCTTTCCACTTCCGCTCCCTCCCGTGTACGCATTCACCAGATAACGTCTGGTTCCGCTGTCGCCGACGTCGTCCCCTTCTCCCCCTCCCCCCTTCTCCCCCCCGTTCCTGCCCCTCCCCTCCTGCCCCACCTGGCACCACGCTGCGCACCAGCACACACCGAGTGGTCCGCTCCTGGCGCACAGTATCCAGAGCCTCAGCCAGCTCGCGAAGCAGTTGCCGACCAATGGCGTTGCGCGCAGCGGGGCGGCTCAGACTGATGATGGACACGCCCTCGTGCACCCCGGATAGGGGCTCCACGGTCACATGCAGCTGCCCGACCTCACCACCGCCACCAACAGACGCGGCGGCACCCGCACCAGCGCCAGCATCGCCGACTGTGTTGCATGGAGTAGATGCAGCGCTGTGCGCGTGGCCGTGGCTACTGCTGGCAGAGGGGGACGAGGTTGACAGGCGTCGCTGGGCGATGCCGGCGAAAAGAAAGCGCTGGGGATGGGCTGATGCAGCCGCCAGGGCGGGAAAGACAAACGTGGCCGACCCAGCTGCCGCAGCAGCAGCGGAGGCGGCTTGGGAAGAGCCGCGGCAGAGCAGCACGGCACGCATGAGGCCTTGCATTTGCGTTTACTTGCGTGTATAGCTGGCAGAGCACAAGGTGACAAGGAAAGTTGAAGAGGACCGCAGACTGCGCAGCGGCGATCCAAAGCGGATAAATCGAATGGCTGCTGTGGGTCTCCGCGGCTAGAAATTCCTTATTGCACGAGGCGGCGGCAGCACACACGCTACGATAAGGGTATGGAAATCCGACTCTGCGTCAGGCTGATGTGCGGAGCGGTCGGAAGTTGGCCGCCAAGGGGTTCTTGCGCCTCAGGAATGCGTACGCAAGCGGGAGGATCTGCGGGACAAGCAGAGGAGGGGTTATGCTACACGTCGAAATGGAGGCTGCGTTGACACAAATCCGAGCTCAAACGGGCGTATGCGGGCATGGGACTGTTTTTTATGTCTCAGCCGGGATCGATCGGGTGCCGGATATAGGCGCAACGGATATGGAAGGCTGGGCGAAAGGGTCCATAGTCCCTTGTTGAAGGTGGTGGTGTGTTCGCGGGAGGGGGAGGTCGACTTCGTGCTCCTAACCAGGTTACGGTATCGGCAAGCACAACTTACAACTCCAACCAGCATAACAATGAGTCCGAGGATATATCGCACAGCTCCTGCAACGGTACAAAGGGTGACGAACGTGAGGACAGTTACGGGTATGAGCATTCGACCTGCAGCATTCGGGAAAGCGTGGACGCACCAGGCGGCTCAATTTCTAGTAGTTTCCGGGCCTGTCGTGTTCAAAAGTACACCGTGGGAAGGAGTTAGAATCTTCATATTTTACAAATCGAAGCCAACCGCACTACAACACTCACAGGCATTCGTTTATTAGGTTTCTTGGGCTACAGCCCGACAGCATATATAACTATTTGGTATGATCTGGTCTGCGTTCCAGGGATATGTCAAGATGCTATTGACACGGAGTCGATCGTCGTCATCTATTGTCGCTGAGTGAGGAACGTGGTAGATATGTTTCACAACGATAAATACAATCAACAAAGTATGTATCACTGCTACAGATCAGCGGCTACCTGGTTGTACGTATGAGTGCGGTCCTATGCTGCCCATCAATCAGGGAATGGTACCCTGGAGTGGCAATCAATGCCTGGGAGAAATCCAGGTGCGGACAACTTAAAAACTGTAACAAGGGCGACTTCTCTGGCTACGGTAATGTCCAAGGCACAACCCTTACACGTAATTCCCGCCGCACCCGCCCGACCGAAACCGTGCCAAACCAGATGGGGGTATTGTCCGTATGGATGAAAAAAACAAACACGCATACCGTGTGGGGGGTACGTGGGAACACGGGGGCCTTCAACAGCAAGGTAGCAGTCAATGCAGGGTAACAGTCGATGTGGACTGGGAAATACTAGTAACGCCAGATAAGATTCAACGTCCGTATACAGCTCGGAATACGGGATACCTCAGAGGTCTAGTCTCGGCGTCTCCTATTTCTCCTGCCCTTTGTATCCTCTCTTCATTCGATCGAGAGCTTGTGCGGGCGTTCGGCAACATCGTACTGCCGTTCGTACCGCCTGTTCCTTTTCTGCACGCCGGAACCACGTCAGCGCATATATGCAGAAATGCATTGAACGTGCATGAACTTTATGCTGTTTGCAATGAGCTTATTGTTGTGTCCATGCTGATTTAGCGACTCCCTTGTCCGAAACGACTCCCTGTGCCACTGGACACTTAGCCAACCCGCCTGCCTGGGGCGGCACAATATCCAGGTCATCGCAACATTGCCTTTGGTTCCAACGGGATGGTCCAGCTTTCGCCAAGGAGTCAGCAGTGCTGTGGAACAGCCCAGAGATACATCCCTCTATGCAGGGTACGTATTTGCAAACATACCAAAAGCATTTATTTGCATGACTGCTGTGTCAAAAGGCTGCAACAGATTTAAGACGGGAAGCTTCTTACATTGCAGGGAACCAGGTCTTGCATCCGGTCCAGGGCCGTCCGTTGCTTTAAGGGCGGTGCAGACGAAATAAGTGAGATGTTTGCGGTATAGCGTGGGACTGCGTTCTTGTCCTTACTGGTTGTTGAGTTGCAAGCGCGCTTTTTTGGCTTGCTTCAGGCAACAAGCCCAACAACCCTCTCCGGTTAAACTTCAAGATTCCGTATCGGGTCAACTTCGGACAGTCTTTGGGCTTGGTTGGCTCAGGCGACTCGCTTGGCAACTGGGACCCCAAGCGGACAGTGCAAATGAAGTGGACGGACGGCGATTGGTGGACAGTGGAGCTAAGCATATCACCCGGGTATGTATGCCTTACACGTTTTTCGCTGATGTCTCCTTATTCAGGCGAAGGGAGTGTTTTGTTTCGCTGTGACCCACGGGTTACATTGCGCTTGCTGACCTCTCCGGTCTGTAGGGGCGCTTTGGACCTGGAGTACAAGTATGTTGTGGTTAACCAGGATGGCAACATTGGTTACTGGAAGCCCGGCAGTAATTACCGTGTTACCCTTCCACTTCAACCGAGTGGCACGAAAATTCCAAAGCGGGTTAAAGTTGCGGATGCTTGGGATGATTCGTTCAAGAAGGTGGACATAGAGGAGGCGGAGGTTCAGGCTGCTGGGTCCAGCAGCAACGGCACCGCCGGGCATGGTAAGCCCGCAGCAGCAGCCGAACACCGACAAGGACAGCCGTCGCCGCAGCAGCAATCGCCTCAACCTCGGGAGACGAATGGTCGGCAGCAGGTTGTGCCGCAACCTTCCGCAGCAGCTGCATCTGTCGCTGGGCCCTCGGCTGCGAGTACACCACAGGTGTCGCCGCCGGTGCCACCTGCAGCGGCTGCGCCAAAGGCCTCCAGCAATGGCACACCGCCGCCGACCCAGGCAACAGGGATTCCGGCTGCGACTCCACAACCTGCTGTGCCGCCTGTAGGAAGCGTGGCATCGCGTGCTGCATCTCCCCGAGTAGTTCCTTCCAACTTTGCAGCGGCTACGGCCATTCCTGTGATTCACCCATCGTTGATGGCGGAGCAGGAGCGCCTTGAGGACGGGGTGAGTTTACCTCCTGCCATCAGCGTAGTTGATTGAAAAGGTTGTTTCGGTTGTATGTGTGCAGATTGCAGCTTATATGCGCTACCATTGCGGGCATACGCAGACAGCTTTTGCTTGATTTGCGTACGTACTGCCACCGGTGCGGTTCCATGGTGCAGGTGCGGAATTCGCTCGAGGACCTGCAAGCGCAAATGGACAAGCACCAGCAGCTAAGGGAACGAAACGACGGTGCGCGCGGGTGCTGATTTTGGAGTTCTGGTCCTTGTGTCCTTGTGGTGATGTTTGTCTAGCATGGGCCCTTTGAATATATTATAGCCCTCCATCCAGTTTTTTCCAGGACATGACTGGGTGCAACTATTAAATTATATGTACCGACATTGTTGGCTGTACAGCGGCCCGATCGTGTCTTCGTGTCGTAGACCGAGAGCTGGGTAACTGCTCTAGTAATGGCGTGGCATTCGGGGGCATGCGCCTGAACCAAGGTGGCTATTGCATGTGGGGATGGTGGGTAAAGGGGAGTGGGCCTGCTTGGCTTCCTCGGCTCAGCGAGTCCCATTTCATGTGTGAGGTTTCCTCCCAACGTGTCACGTGCCGGGCTGCTCGTGTCCGCCTAAGCCGCCCAGACGTCTTTAGCGTCCTCGGGAGTTGCATTAGCCGGTCGCTATCTCCTAGCATTTTTTTCTACCCCGTGTACAGCAGGCTATTTCCGTCAAGGGATTAGCGACTGGCAGTGCTAGTCATGTCTCCTATGCAAGCGGACAGTATCCGTAAAACTTGTGGAGCTTAACTTGGAAACACTGTTTCGCATGGAAGTTGGCAAGCATGCACCAACGTGATAAGCCGGTTGCAGTGTACTGGCATGGTTCTTCCCAAGTACAGACTACCCGAACCTTTATTTACATGCGCAGATCCCGCGGCTGTTGAGGTTCTCGTGGCCGACCGGATTGTGGCAGCCGCTAATAACCGAGTGGTAAGCTGCTGGGTTGAAATCGTGCTTTTGTGGGACAGGTTACGTCCGTCTACCAGGTTTACCAGGTGGAATTCCACGGCATTACGTTATCCAAAACGTCGAGCACGGGGAACGATTATGACGTCCTCCTGGCATGGTTTTCTGGTTGTCGCAGGTCGCATATAACAAGGCGCTGAAGGCCGTGCAGGAATACAACCGACTTCCCCCCTCTGCCAGCACTGCCAAGGAAGCCACTTCCGACATTCCGAAGTAGTCCGGATGCCCTTGGGGGCTTCCAACGACTTTTGCCTGGACACAACGGGACGCTTGCGTGCCGGTATAATTTGGCTTGGGTATTGGCTGCAGCTACGCAGCTTCGCGCGGAAGGGCTGTGCAGGGGTTGTCGTCGCCTAGCCGTTTTTGCTTACCCGGATGGCCCCAGACAGAGCGTGTGTGCTCAGCGTGCGAGCTCCAGTTTCCGTTTCTGTTTTGATCTTTGTCCGGTCGGTTTCTTCCGTACTGTTTGTGGTGTGTTATGTTCGTGTGGAGCGGTGTGTGAACGGAATGTCAGCATTCGAAGCCCGCAGAGTTGTCCCCCTGTACCATCAAGTGCACTGCGTACCTGACATAGTTTGAACTCTTGGCCGTGTACGGGCGGCCCTACAATTTGGCGCTTTCCTTCCTCTGCGGTGCTTTCCACACGTTTGTCTCTTTCTTCGGGGCACGGCACTACGGTGCTCCGCTTTCGTTTGCCGTGCATGGCGCATGTGTGATATTCTTTTATGTGGGCCCCGTTGCTTGTGACCACACCCGCGGTCACCTCAAGGTTGGGTTGCCACGTCATGCACTGTGAAGAGCTGCTGATTGCTTGTAGGAGGTGATAATGCGCAGGTGGTTGGCCTTCGATGGCCGTGCTGATTGACCTGAATCCCTAGACCTGAAACTTTTTCGCGAGATGGTGATAACTGTGTATATGGTGTAATGTACCAGGGCAGGAGAACACCGCGGAAGCCAAGCCATCGCAGCTCTCTTAATGATTTCCCATATGTTGGATCAACATCGGTGCCATATGTTGGATCGTTGACTCAGGGTAGCACCCAGCAGTGAACTAAATCGCTTTTACTAGGCGTACTGCGCTGTACCATCTCTTCACTAATGCTTCTCCATTCGGAAAACACCGGAGAGCTTTACGTACGTCTATGCGTATCTCACCGCTCCTGTACCCCAAGCCTGCTCTGAGCCTACCCCGTGTTGAAACAGCGAATATACTGGGGCAGTCAGTGACTAGCATCACGACCGTGAGAGCTCCCATCCATTTTCGTTTCTTTTAAGGCCAGAAGGCTCCACTGGCCCCAACTATTATGGGACGCTACACCAGGTACTGTTCGTAGGGTGTTTGTGCACGCCTGTAGAGGTCCTCAGTCGTGTAGCCGTGTGCTGCCCTCAATGCACAGTGATCTACCCACGGCTAGCCCAGGGCTTCAGCTGTGCGTGCTGTAGCTAGCGCACAGCGCCGAGGGCTCCCTTCCGACGGTATCCTTTGCTGTGGACTCGGCTTGGTGCAAGGAGTGGGCCAGCATATCATGACATGTCGCTGTTGTGGTGTTCTGGGTGTTGAGGCGTGTTGAGGAACGGGGTCCTGCAATTCTCATTCCAAGAATCTCTCCAGCGCCGAGACCAGCTACATGGGTCATATCTTCTACAAATATCTGTGCCCTAAAAACTGATTTCCACCATGCACGGAGGCGAAGGCAGTAATGCATGAAGGAACAGATCAGACAGCTTACTGCACGCAGCAATGGTTGAGCATGTGACTAATTAATTGAATGTATTTGTATAATTGAAAGTAATTTCGCACAAGTTTTGGGCTCCCCTGGAGGGTTGGCTGGCTGCCTTCGAACTGTCGGACTTGCCTATAACGAAATCCCAAATGCCCTTTAATGGAATCGTTCTAAGCTGCTGTCAGATCAGTTACATCACAGGCGTATTACTAAAACATCTCACTTCACTTCGTGACCTCTTCACCAAAACTTTAACCAAGATGTCCGCGCCGCCCATTCCCAAGCTCCCTGGCTACACAGTATGCATGCCTGTAAGTATTTAACTTGCTGACTGTGGGTTATGTGCTTGAGTCGATCGGGCCCTAAGACGGTAAAATATTTTCCATTCCGCAGCAATCGCTGAGCGACAAGGGGTTCAAGAAGCACCAAACCCTTAACTATTTGAATGGGTATCAGAGGGAAGAGACTTTGGCGGTTGTTAAGGAGTTGCCGGAGCGTGTCGCTACGGATGCCGTTGCTGGGACCTCCTCGGCCACCCTGCCCGCAAGCATGCTGGCGCCGGATGCTGCCAGCAAGCTACCGCAGTGGGTGGAGAACGATCGCAAGGTGCGCGACTCATAGATTGTTCTGATGGGCCGCGTCTTAAAAGGTAACTTAGTGCTCACAGCTCAACTGCTTGCCAAAAACGACAGGTCTTGCGCTTCTTCGGTTATTTCAAGGAGTCTGTGGTTGAGAGCAACATGGAGAATCATCGTATCCGCAAGGTTATCCTCTACTACTATCTCGAGGACGACACCATGCACGTTGCCGAGCCGCGACAGGACAACAGCGGCATTCCACAGGTGAGCATCCTCTTTTGACATGCTAATTTACATGTGAATTGTCATATTCCGACAGGTTGTACTGGAAATCTTGCATTGCCTGCACTAGGAATGCCGCTGGAGCTTGGACGAGTGTGTTTTTATAACACTTTCACTCCTGTGCCTGCCCTGTTGAACCATAGGGCGTTTTCATTAAGCGCCACCGCGTGACCTGCGAGGACGGCGGCTTTTTTAACCCGGATGACTTCAGCGTCGGTCAGAGTGTCACTATCTATGGCCGTACGTTCTTCCTTGTGGACGCTGATAACTTCACGCGCGAGTACCTAGCTGGCAAGGGCAAGGAGCAGGGTGCTGCGCTGCCGTATCCTGACGATCCCGTGGATGGCTACCGCACTGCCTTCGGGATGAACCGTGGGCGCGCTGACGACAGTGAGTCCTGGAAGGGTTCCGCGGGATAAGGATGGGATATGGCAGTCTCCAGGCTTACGGTTGTGTTTTGATGCAGATGATGTTGAACACATGGCAGGTCTCCCCAACGGCACTACGCCCATGGCTGGTCACATGTCCTTGTAATTTGGACCCATTAACATTTGCTGTGGCCAAGCATGTGCGGCATTGCATATGTTGGTTTTTTTTACCGTTTTGCAAGATGACGTTTTTTTTGGACTTTGCCGTTGGCGCGATATTCGTTTTAGTGCCTGGCACGTCAACCCGCGTGCATTGTACCTTGGGACTAGTGCAAATTTTCGAAACTCTGAATTGTTGCTCGTACTTCTGCAGCGACCGCTGGCACGCTGACCCGGCGCATGAATGACTTCAAGGCGTACGTGGAGGCACGCCTAGGCAAGCCCAGCCATTTGCTGGACGGAGACCGGTTGCGCCAGTTCCTGGAGAATAACAAGAAGGTGCTCCGCTTCTGGTGCGTCTGGGATGAGCGCCAGTCAATGTATGGCGACCGCCGGCCATACGTTCTTCATTACTTCCTGGAGGATGACACGGTGGAGATCTTGGAAATCAATGAGAGCAACAGCGGCCGCGATCCTTTCCCCGTGTTCCTGAAGCGCGGCCCACTGCCGAAGGTGCCTGTGAAGACGAACACCACGCTTAACCCCAAATACCGTAAGGACCAATGCTACTCGCCTGGCGACTTCCGCCTTGGCACCTTCATCTCTGTGCTTGGCCGCGACTTTTACCTGCACGATGCCGACACATTCACAAAGAACTGGTACAAGGATAACCTGGGCTTCGGTGACGAAGAGATGACGCCGGTGGATATCAAGGAACCCATCCTGCCCAAGCCCAAGGCTGCACTGCCACCGTACAACGGCTATGGCACGCTAGAGGACAGCTTGCAGAACTGCCTCAGCCTAGTTCCCAAGCCGCCAAAGCGTGACCTGCACAAGCTCATGAACAAGGACAAGATCATCCTGCGCTTCGTTGTCAAGATGGTTGACACCGAGACGCACAAACATTCGGGTACCGATCTCGCGCGGCGCTTCATCCTGTCGTACTTTATGATGGACGACACATTGCTCATCTTTGAGCCGCCAGTGCGCAACACGGGTATTGCAGGCGGCAAATTCCTGGAGCGCCAGCGGATCTACAAGCCACGCAGTGAGGAAATCTATACGTATCTGGACCTGTATGTGGGCAGCGTTATTGAAGTATTCAACCGCAGCTTTGAGCTGCTGGAGGCGGATGAGTATACGCTCACGTACATGGAGAACTACAAGGACATTTTCGTAATGGCGGACACAGATGTGATGGTCCGGTCGCTGAACGCACAAGTCAGCGGCAAGGAAGATGCCGTGCGGGCAGCGCTCATCGCCGCGGACAAGGCAGGCACAGGTGCTCTAGGTGGTGAGGACTTGGAGGCGGGCCTGCTGGCGGCCGGTCTCAAATTCACGCGGCACCAGGCAATTAGCCTCAAGCGGCGCTTGGACAAGAACAAGACGGGGACAATTAGCATTGAGGAGTTCCTGGGGCTCTTGGGGATTTGAGGGGAACGTGTCTGGTTTATATGACCCTGCCACAGGTGAACGGGGATATCAGGACAAGCGCATAGCCGTCAATGCATTGAGCTGCAGGTTTGGACTGGGACATAAACAGTGGTGGCCTGTAGGCAGCTGGGTTGAGGCCCTTTATCGCACTGAGCGTTAGCCTTCCGTTCCTGTGCTGTTCACGCTGTGGATGGGGGACGTATTGGGGGACCGTTGGGGACCGATGAGTACATAGTATGTGAGGAAGGTATGCGGTCGCGATAACCATCCATGAAACTCGTCATATACCCGACATTTCCTGACTTTCTTGGCGATGCTAGGGTATCTTGACAGGTCGCGACCTGGGAACCTTATGTGGCGCATGGGACTTTGCTTGGAGCCGCAGTGACTTACGAAACGACTTGACTGCATCCGCTACGATAACTCATGTGTATGATAGGTCAGGCGGTAGGCAGGCTAGGCAATAACTGACACATAGGCAGGATGTATATAGGTAGGCAAGTATATTCATGTTCAATGTGACGGTAGCGATGGGACGAAAGTGCCTTAAGCTGTGTGCGTTCCCACAGGAATTTAGTGAACGAGTGAAGGTGGCTGGGTAATTACTGTAGGTTAGGACATAGTTGACTCAGGCTTACCTCGTGCCGTCATGCACGGACGACCACGGACGGATCAGACGGCATGGAAGTAGCGCCCAACCATTCTGTGGTTAGGGGCCGTTTGTAAGATGCGGCTCGGCCGCTTGCTTTGAAGTTGACCTTGACTACAAGCCGTATGCAAAGCTGAGCTCATTACGTAGCGTTGCGAGCAGTTTGGAATCCCTTGAACCACAGTAAGCTGTCCTAAGCGCTCATCGGGCTCTGGCGCACATGGATATGTTGAATTATTCGGGCGACGCCTGCAGCATCCATATCTAACGCATAGAGTTAGGATGCGTGCATACCGCGCCCGCACTCAGACGTACGATCAAAGATTCTATATAATGTGTAGAGGACACGAAAAGGAACTAAATGCCCCCAAACAACTGTCCACACTACCATTTGCCGCCATGATAAAAGAAGGCTAGCTATGCTGGTGTGAAGGTTAAGGTCAAGTTGGGTGGTAGATTAGAGCCTGAATAGTCCGTAGGCCGCGGCGTGAAGCAAGGGCGGCCCTTTACTGTAACCCTTTGGGGGCTCTTCATCAAAGTGTTCGCTCATTGCATTGATGCTCACGGCACTGACTGCCGCGTACGTCTTCCCGGCCGATGGAGCACTCTCCGTGAGCAGGGCATGAGCCTGGTGGACAGTGAACTTACCAACCTGCTTTTCATTGACGATGCGTCACTGGTCGCGACTGGGCACGCAAGTTCTCAATGCCTACTCGGGCTACTCGGAGCCTTCTGCAAGGCGACGGGATGGCCGCGAAAGGGGGCACGGCAGATGAGCGAAAGCGGCTCATGGAGGCCGAGTACCGGCTAGGTGGGGTGGGCATGCGGGTGCTGACCGGCAATTAAACTGCACTATCTCGGACTGCATTACGGCCCTGGTGCGCAGTTCTCAGCGGCAGCTACTCGCGGCAGGGAGGCGGGACACGTTTGGACTCAGTGCCTTGCGTCATGGTAAGGAAATTACCACCTACTACACCTCTAAGCTACTACACCACCCCTAAGCTATGTATGTCTCTCTTGAACACGGTCGTTGTAGCGGTGATTTCGTATGGGGGCCCGAGTTTGGAGACCTGAATTCATTAGTGCGAGCTCCAAAGGTGCAATGGCTAACCCTTTGGTCCAGGAGCAGCACGCGTACATGCAGTCCATAGTAGGGGCAAGGAACCCGGCTATGGTTCCCTCTATCGTGTGCTGTCGCAAGGCCACTCCAGTTCCACTGGGCCAACCTTGTACTGAAGTTTTGGAACGCCATGATTAAGAGGCCATCGGGCCTTCGTTGCCGGCCTGGAGTTGGCACAGGGGTGCGTTACTGAGTGCTGGACGAGCAAGCTCCTAGCTTTCCTTACCAGCTTAGGAGGGCGAACACCCACTAGCACGCGTGGTGATGACCCTATAGCGCATTACGCAGGTTCGAGGAATGCCCTGCTTACGCAAGCGCTCGGGTTAAGTACGACGGTGACCTCGTGTATCAAGGGCGGAGCATGCGTACCATTATGACTGAGGCGCCGCCCCAGGCATTGGCCAGGTACCTCTCGAAATCTGGGAAGCCAGGCACGTTGCGCTAAGGCGCTTCGCGCTGAAGCGGACGAGGGAGGACGATAATGGCCCCCACGTACCCACATCAATCCCAATCTACCGTCCATGGCAACCCCGGATTTTACGGACACCACCGCACGTGTGTGCGAAACTTGTAACTTGTGACGTATATAGCACCTTCTTGTCCTCTGTTGTTACATCGTAATTACATTAAAACCTCCCCAGCAGCGATGCGACCAGCAGTGAACGTAGCCAAACCCCGTCCAGTTCGCAGACAAAACCCGTTAAACCTCCCAACCACTACTATGAACGAATTCCCTGCACCGCCGTGCTGATCGGCTTGGTGCCTCCCCATATGGTCTCCCCGCTGGTCGGCTCGACCCTACCCTAACTCCCCTGCCCCGAAAACCCCCGCATTTATATTGGACCAGTGGCCGGCAGTGGCACCTAGGCTCAAACCACCGGGCGGTGAGGCCCGATGTAACAAAAACAAGCGCACCCAACTAGGGAGGTGAGGGTGGAAGAAAAAGCATAACCAAGGTATCAACACGGCGAATAGCCATAACAAGGTTGTGACCAGAACAAATAAATAACACATAACAGTACGACAGAGATTGTACGACAAAATCACTACTTACACTTGCATCGTCCAAATGAGAAGCCAGCGCTTACGGGTTGAGCACGTGCGTACGGCCGAGGAATCACCGCCGGCTGTTTCCATAACTACACTCGTCAAGAAATAAACGTGCAAGCCTCGGTCTACAGGTATGCCCTTTCGTGGATGAAAGAACACAGAAAGATCGCACAACAGTTTTAGCTGAGGGGTGCGACCATAGTGGTCCAATATGTAACTCGTACCAAATACGTATAATAATACATATACGCGTATAATACGCAAAATCCATGAATTCGCTGGGAAATACGGTCGTTCTCGCCGCTACAGGCAATCCGACCCATGGGTCACGGTATCAACAGGGCCGCTGCAGGTCCATGCAGAGCCATGCAATGCAAAAATTCAAGTCCGTCCACTGAGTCAATGATGCCTATGGTGGCTAGCCTTTCTATTCGCTTGTTGTAAGTGACTTCTTTGTTAGTGCCGCAAGTTTTCACCACCTTGACATGAATCCATTCAGCTGAATCGGCCATTGGGGGAGGTAAACTGTATGTCCGCGATATGCAGAAGGATATAAACAGCAGATAAGGAAATTTTCAGCTCCGGTCAAAAAAATAAGTACGTTTGACGATGCCGTTTTTTGAGCTTATTTCGAATGTATTTCGTATATACACGCGAGCATTGCCGTCGCGTACGCCGTATGATACCCCTACCAACGTCCTTGGTGTTACAAGTGTCTTGCAAAACGTTCCACCCGTAGAAGCAGCATCCCATCGTCGAAGCCCCATGTTTCCCATTTTCACAGTTCAGCTGACATATGTTGACCTAAACATAGATATCGCGAACACAAAAGGATAGTGTGTCCTCGGAAGATTATGCATGCTTCGTTACAAATTCGACATCATTTATTAGGTAGTGGCACTACCTACTCCACCGACGGCATGGGGGCCGGATATCCAAATTGATCCATGCAACACATCCAACCATGCAAGGTGCAGAGGGCGCTGATGCCGCTTATTTCCGTCTCTCTTCACTACACTCTTCAATTCGCCCAGCTCAACAAGCACCATTGCGCAGGCGATTATGTAATCTAATGGCCGCATAAGCCATATGCAACGTGCCGCATGCAAGGTGTCCAAACATCCTGCAAACAGCCTGTAGCCTCTGCCTTCGAAGGCCATCAAGACGACAGATAACAAGCAACCGTTGGCAAGACTGCAGTCAGATTTAACGCATACAAGAAGAAATCATATGGTACAAAACGGCATTGACCAGCCTGCCAGCCTGCCAGCCTGCATCCCCTACTTCTTCCTCGCCTTCCCGCAAGCAATAAGCACACGTTGTATATCGCCCTCCTGCAGCAGACGTAAACCTGGACCCACGCCTTCATCCTCCTCAATTGTGCGACATTCATAGCTTCGCCATTCGCTCCCCCACCGGCACTGCCTCCTGCTCTTCCACCACCTCCGAGTCCGCCATGCTTGGCTGGCTGAGCTGCATGACGTCCGGCGGCAGCTGCAGATCCTCCTCCAGCAGCCCATCGCTGGCAGCCGCGGGGATGCAGTTGGTGCGCAGGATGTCGGGAGTGGCGCTGCGACCCCTGCCGGTGTGCAACACGACCACCTGCCGGGGCAGTAGAACAATTTAGAAGGCAGAGAGCGGGAAGAGCGTGTGTAGGGGGGTCTGCATGAAAGGCTGTGAACATTAAGGAACCACGACTTTAGACCACGATGCTGTCGGGGCAGCGAAGGTGTGATTCTCCCGCCCTCTTCCCCTTCGCGGCGCTCACCCTCTTCCACTCCAGGTCGAATCGGATGTATTCGGAGTCGCACTCCTCCACCAGGCGGGCCATGTGGGCCAGGTTGTGCACCTTGACCCCGTTCACCTTGTACACCTGGGGGATCGCAAAGGGGGGGGAGAGGGGACACGGGGGGAGCAAGGCCAAGGGGAATGGATTGCAGGGGCACAGCATGATCCATGCCAATCAATGCACATGCCGGGCAACCAAGAATCCATTTGGTGTGCATACAACGTTGTGGGGCTGCCTACTGCAAAGATGTCGTACCTGGACGTTCTGAATCTCCTGAAAGCCCTGGTTGACGCTTGCCGACAGCACCTGAACAGCAGGGGGGGGAGGAGGGCGATGTCACATGTGGCCAGGCAGCGGGGAGCCCATTCACTTCGCTGACGGGTTCCTGAAATTTAGGCCGAAGTCCATGCTAGCTACGGGATCTCCACAGCCAAAACCTATAGCATCCTTCTCCGTACCGCCGTTCCCTCCCCTCCCCGCCCTGCCCTGTCGTCCTTGCCTACCTTGCTTAGCAGCACCACCTCCTGCCCCAGGGCCTCCATAGAGCCGCTCAGGTAGCGGTCACACAGCTTGATGGGCGCCTTGGTAGACCAGTCGGTGCCGTACTGATGCCGCAGGTAGAAGTTGGTGAGCCGAGTGAACACAAGGCCGGCGAAGATGTAGTACCTGCCGCACGGAAAGGCCGGGAGGATAGGAGGCCCATCGGGTAATGATGGGCACTACATTACATAAGCCCCAAACGAAGAACAAAAGGAAAGAAATGTCCCCTGCCAAGCAGCTAAGGGCCAGGACACCTCTCCCCCACAACTTGCTTTGGCTTCAGGTCGTGGCAGTGCGTCGGCACCAAGTGTCTGGGCACGTTGACCAGGAGGGGCAGCTCCAGCGCGGCGCCGTCCCTCCAGATGCCCACCCGGAGGCTGTCTCCGTCGTACGCCATGGAGGGCAGGTGGCGGAAGTCGATGCGTACCGACTGGTCGGGGAACAGGAAGGTGCCGTCGTCCGCGATCTGGTGCCCGTCAACACTGGTCAACACGTCACCCGAACGAAGGACCTGGAAAGGAAGGTTGATAACCGGAAAGAGCAATTTAAGTCGTGCAATAAGTCAGGCTTCCTACATTTTATCGGTTTCAGAATGTACGGTAGGTGCATGAATCGTTCGTACCTTGGTCGAGTCGTACACGGGCTCTGTTCCGGTTATGTAGACGCCGGTGGCTCCTTCGGGCATACCCAGCGAGCGCTTCATGTCAGCTGACTCCAGGCACTGCCAGCTGATACCCATTTCGGGGAATCCTGGATACGAGCACAGCGAGGGAGGGCGACGAGAGATAACAAGCCATGGGGAGACAGCAGGGCAGCGGCAGCAGCCATAAACACACCTGAAGATTAGGTCGCAGCACATCGCACATCATCAAGTCAAACTTCCAGGCCTAAAGCAGGTTTGCTGCGCTGTTGGTTCTTCTATTGCTGGTGCTGCTAGTGTCTACCGTCAGCCAAGCATGGCAGTACCGTAGCAGGCAACTCCCTCCTTTCCCCCGCCACCCGCCGGCCCCCCCTAAGCCCCCCAACACCCTCCCCCCACCCCCCACCCCCCAACTCGCTCACCTGTGTATTTTCCTCCATGTCTGTCCAGGTCGTTGAGGAAGTGGTGCACCACGGGGGTGGGGATGACGTAGCCGGTGTTCTCCGCGCCCACCAGCGACTGGAAGGCCAAACCCACCACCTGGTCGCCCTGAAGCACCGGGCCGCCGCTGTTGCCGCTGTTGATGGGCGCGTCCGTCTGGACGGTCAGCAGAGCGCATCTGCCGTGCGAGTACTGTTGACGGTCTAGGCGGGACGCCACCCCTTTGGTGACGCACACGTTGTCACCTCCTTGCGGGAAGCCCACCACCGTCACGCTCTCCTGCATGGGCGGAAGGCCGCCCACTTGGAGAGCCTCCACGCCGCCGTTGCCCTCCCAGAACTGAAAACGAGGGAACGACACAAGGCAAAGGGGGACATGGCTGTGCGTGTCCGACATAATTAGGGAATACGGTGTACGACATGATTAGGGGATACGAACTGAACTGAACTCCATCGGAAGAAGACCCTCGACGAGCATGTAATCGCCCTGTCCATTCCATGTTCATCCGGCCATTGACGCACAAGTGACCCACGGGTCGTTGTGCTGTGCTGCGTTTTGACGTAGCCAAAGACCACCCCGCATGTACGCACCTCGTCATCGTCCACCGTCAGCATGGCGATGTCGCACTCGTGTCCCACCGCCAGCACCCTCGCCGGGTATTTGCGCGCGTTACCGTGTTTGCGCAGCATGACCTGCACCTGGTTGGCAACCGCGTGGGCGTTGGTGAGGATGCGGCGCGAGGACAGAGGTGCCACCACGAAGCCGGAAGCCGTGGACTTGGTCTGAGTCATCATCTGCCAAGGGAGGCTGTAGTTGGGGCTGCGGGGAGAAGGGGAGGCGGGAGGGGGGAGAGGGGATGTGCAGGGCTGGTCAGCTGGTGGGAGGAGTGCGATGCCTTACTGGGTCACCAAAAACTCACATGCCTTGTGACCCACATCAAATTTTAGCGTTTTATGGGCACCGGAAAACGAGTAACAGGTAGCACGCGCATCGGGGCAGCACGCGCGCCATACCACCTGTCAACGATAGGGGAGTAAACCCAAATGAGGAAACACTTACTTGGCACTGGTGCAAAAGATCTTCACTACGCTGCGCAATGCCTTGTCCAGGTGGCTCGCAGACGAGTCCTTGGCGTTCTGGCTTTTGGGTGCACCACCGTTCACGGCGGCGCTGCTGGAGTTATTATTGGTCGGCATGCAAATCGGTGGGCGGTCCAGGTTGCAAAAGGACTCGCTGCGGGGGCGCTTGGTCGGGCTGGGCGGAACCATGACCACCGCATTGCGAGTCACCACAAACGGCTGCTGGGGCTGCTCGTGGCCGAAAGCACGGGTCGGAGCGGCAGCGGCCATGCTGCTGTGACAACTGTTGTCGTTACTATTGCAAAAGTTGTAAGCGTTCTCAGCGTTAGCCTCGAATGTCGCAAACTCAGAGAACAGCGATGACTGCGAGAGGGAAGAGCTTCCGGTCCTGGTGCTTGCTTTTCGGTCGAGGGTGTAGGCGCGATGCGCTCTTGGTGCGACAGTGGCGGGCCGAAAACAGGACAGACTTAATATGACTGGTGCGAGACGCGCGGCGGCGGAAGCGCAGACTCGTGCTGCAGGGGCTGCGGAGCAGTAGTAGGCGGTAGGAGCGTACATGATGTTGGTTAAGGCGAAGGTGGTTTGTCGTCAATTAAATCCTCGCAGGAGACAGCGGCGACTGAAGACGATGTATAAACGTTTCAAGACGGCTAGCAGGAAAAACAGAGATCACGCGTAAGGAGAAGCGGGGCCAGCTTGGCCGCCGAATAATTAGCTAACCTGATAAGAGCTCGCGGTGTTGAGAATAATCACGAGGCGCGCGGAGGCGCAGGAGACGTAGGGTCTTAAGGAATAATGTAACCTTCTCGCTGCACAGGCGGGCCAAGGGCTGAAAAGCTTTGGCAGCCGGTCGGGCTTATGTAGTTATCCGGGTCCCGCGCGCTGCCTGCTCGTACGGCAGTTTTGACCTTGGCGAAATCGGCGCGCATGCAAATCCACGTTGCGCCGACGGCTGTCAGCCAAGCCATGCGGTTCAGGAAACAGCTGTTGTACAAATATTCTCTCGATGCTAAAGGAAATTGGTGATTGGCACATCGTGGCTGACACAACGGCTGATGACGAAGGTGGCGAAGCATGCGAAAGAAGCGCAGCACGTCATAAGAAAGAGGCTTGTTGCTGCAGGCTTTCCATTCCATGTGTGCTTTCAGCTATCCTACATCCATTCGCTCACTCTTTGCGCGGCCCTACCTGTGTGTGCGCCCGATACCGTTAAGTGCGACTCAAAAGGCGACCCTCGCGAGGGCGACAGTGTTTCCATGTCAGTTGTCTGGGGAGAATATTGTGACACTTCTGATTCGAGGGTACACCGTATTAGTAGATGTCAATTATGCTCCCAAACAACTGACAGGGAAACACTTTGACGACACTTTGAGCCCTTGGTGCATTTTGTTAGAAGGTTTTTTTGTTGTAAGAAGGGAGAGCCCTTGGTGCGTGATGGACGTGATGCAAAGGCCCATGTGGCCAGGGCGTGAAAGGGGAGTCTGTGGGCAGGGCGTTGTCCTTGTGTGTGGGTAGTATCGCCCGAAAGCTGCTGATGTCAGTGCGAAGGTCCCTGCAGCCGCTAGTCTACCAGCATTGTGCGAAAGTCACCTGATTCGAGTTCGGGTGTGATAACACGGGGTCTACCCTGTCCGCCCTGGAGAGGGGGCGTCTGTGGGTTCGAGTACCACGAAGACATTACCGAGCTGCGTTGTACATTTGAGGGGATGGCAAACTGGCATCTGGGCCGCATGTTCGGGGTGTTGAAGCGCCACAGGGGAATTGGGTCAGTACGGGTGGCAATCTTCCAGGGGGCAAGGTCTTGCCCGTCCAGCATCATGTCCTTTTTCACGCAAGCTCAGCCCGCACCCTGTGCCCCGCGATGCATAACACGATTTGCCATTCAACTGACCCTTTTCTGTGGCACCAGCTTGGCGCTCTCCTTGTCAGATGATGTGGTGCCCTCTCTCATGGTGTCAGTTGGCTGGATGTGCTGCCCTCGGGTTGTGTGGGGAATGGGACATACAGAGAGGGCCTGGGCGTCACCTGACAACGCTGAAGCCAAGTAGGTGATTTTGAAGATTAGATGGTGGGTGGATAACTTTGGCAAGGTGACTTTATGAGCTGGTTATGCTGGCTTCTTATGGGAGTGGCTCATGCCTGACCCAAGATCCGCCTGACCGCGGCTCAAGGAATGGCTCCGGGACAATCCTCTTAAAGCGCAGCTAGACTGCGAACGCGCTCAGAGTGCCCGCTATTGTCGATGGGGCCAAACAGCCCATCGAATGCACCACGAGCAAACGTACAGACCCCGGATTTTTGTCTCCACCCGCCTGTCACGGCAGGGCGTCTTCCTCCACCTCACATCCTCCATCACTCCAACGCAAAACCCACGCAAGCCCCTGAGCGAGAGGATTCATGAGTCGATGCCGAACCAGCAGCTCGATACCGCGATCCCCCACCAAAGCCGCCGCCCAGCCAACCAGATCCGTCCAAGATCCGTCCTCTGAACGTCCGACTTGACCCCGGCTGCTCACAACACACACGTGCCCCCCTGGTGCCAGCTACTCGGGTAGGAACCCGGGTAGGAACCCATCCCGAGACAGCGGCGGCGGACCATCCCGAAGGACCCCTCGCAATGCAGATCCCGCGGCCGGGGCTGCAACACCGTCATGCTGCTGCATCACCTACCACCGCGGGGGTTTTGCGTGGACGGTAGTCAATCCTGACGAAACCGTACTTGGCTAAATCGGCCTCGGGGCCCCAGAGCCAGAGGCAGTGCCACTTACACTTCTCAAGAACCGCAAGCAGCCGGAAAGGGCCCGTCCCAAGCCCCGCCCAACGCACGATCTTCCGCCTTCACGTCATCGCATCGGATCTGGACCCGCGCCAGGCATGGCGGCCATGTCTCCAGTGCGTGCAGCCCGGCCCAAAACCCAACTATGCAATGTGCAGGCCGCGCTCCTCAGCTGACCAGCAACCCTGCACCCCAGAACTTGCCAGTTGGGCGTGCAACCTTACAAAGATTATATAAACATAAGACCGGGATTGTAACTCATGCATCACAAGAGCTTTTCGTATTGTTTGGATATGCACGAGGACCGATTTCGGGCACGCCAGGGAGAGTGTTTTCCAACGGCGGCGGGGACCTTTAAATGGCCTAAATGGATCGGTAACTGATTCGCGACCCCGTACACATGCAGCGCTCTTGCAATCTGTTGGGTGGCTGCCTGGGCCGCAGCGTTGCCCCGTACACAAAGCGCCGGTTCCTGTCCACACCCATGGCGCTGAGGGTCCTTCACAGAGTCAAACTCCACAGAGCGTTCTCGGATCTCGGGCACAGCGGCAGCAGCAAACAGCTTCCTTGCAACGCAAGCAAATTTCGAGCTCTCGGAACGGCTGTACTAGGCCATTCCGTCACTTCGTTTTCAAGGAGCCAGCGATGCCCTAGGGAAGTGGCGGGAAAAAAAGCCGAAAAGCCCCCTGGACCCTCGCTGGGCAGGCTGGGCCGATACCTGATCACCTCTGCGATGGAAGCCACTGCCGCCGCGGCGGTCCCTCTCCACTCCATGCCTGGCACCTCCGCACCTCCAGCCATGTACCGTTGGCAGGAACACTTGGACTTCATTATTTCACACAGCACCAGCATCAGCATCAGCAGCGGCAGGCTGTGTCAGTGTCGAGATCACCTGGTGGGCTCTTCATCTCCAATTCCGCCAGCCTGGTAACGACCTTACTTGAGCCCTTGGGTTGAGTCGATGAAGCGTGCAGTTCAGCTCATGCACGGAAAGCGGTCATCCGCGTCACCGTTTCCGCACCTCCCGCCGCTCCTTCGCTTAGCTCCGAAAGCTCGTATGCCCGCTGTGGCCAACGTCAACCTCTGGTTTTATGGGTACAAAATCATACGCGCGTTGGATATCCGGACATGCCGATGGTGCTACCGCCAAAGCATCTTTCCGTCCCCATTTCTGCTACTTATCGTAGTCGCCGCCATCCCTCAACACCCCGCATCCCCGCCGCCCACGTTCAACGCCGAGCCCCAGCCGTCACCTCAGACTGCCCGCATCCGCCGGCTGCACCTCATCTACCTCTACCATCCAATCGTCACCGACGTCGGCGTTCGCAGAGTCAATGGCGTACTTGTCATCTGGCGCATCTCTCTCGTCGCGTAGGTGTTTTCGTGGTCGGTATCAGGGTCCTCGCGTCGTCGGCCGTCGTGCTCCTCAGCGACAGGCGCGTGTAGCGCGGTCTCCACCCACCGCCTCCACCCCACTACCCCTTCTCAAAGGACCACACACCGAATTTTCCACTGCAGAGAGCAACCGGGTCTGAAAACGATTCAAGCGCGGGTTACGGCAGGGGGATGGACCGCCTTGTGGGCAGGGTCGGGGTAGCCTATCGAGGGTTTTGTCCCAAAGCCCAAGAGGGCAGTTGGACGCTGAACTGGGACAAGAAGCGGAGCCCCGCACCCGAACCTGCGAAATAATCAGCCCCATTGAAAGGCACATGAACTTATCGAGGGGTTCCCCTTCGGGGATGAACGAAGACTAAGTAATTATAGGTGGGCTATTGTTATTTTTTTAGTGACTCATAAAAGATTGATTAATCAAGTGGCTTCGACGGGCAGCTGACTGATTAATGGAATACCCGCCCGCGGAATACCTCTGCCACCTCCTCCACCTCCTCCTCGTCCGTCTCCTCGGACGCGTACACCTCATCACTCGCCACCTCACTTGGCAATACGGTGTAGGAGCCCATCAGGGTCCTTTGCGACGTACTCCTCAGCGGCCTTAATCATTAGGGGCTTGCAGATGATGTCCACGGTGAGACCAAGCAAACTAACCCGCATAAGGGAATCAATGGACGGGACAGAAAGCCGGTTACGCCACCTTTTTTTGCTAATGCGGTGCACAAAAGAAGCCTCACACGCTCAACACACGCCGCTTGGGTGGGTAGGATGCATTGGAGCGACTTACACCGACAGATAGATCACGCGTGTAAACCCACTGGCGCATTCCAGCGCAGGCTCATTCCCGAGTGGTGCGGCCCAGCTCCAGTTGCAAAGCCATCTTAAACGTGATAACTGTGCAAACCGTCAGGTTCGTTGCCGTCAAAGACAAGCAGGCGGTGAGGCCTTA